TGGAGGAAGCGGAGGAGGAGGTAGAGGAGGGGGAGGTAGAGGAGGTGGAGGATGAAGATGAAGAGGAGTAGGAGAAGAAGAACGAGAAGGAGGAGGAGGGGGAGGAGGAGGATGAGGAGGAGGAGGAGGAGGAGGAGGAGTAGGATGAGGAGGTGGAGGTGGAGGAGTAGGAGGAGGAGTGACTCGTCGATCCTATCTATCTTGAGTTGGTTTTTTTCTTCTTCTGGCAGCTCTCGCGTTATGTCGCCGCCGCCGCATGCGATTAATAATGTGAGCGGGGGATTCCCACTCGCTCGCTCGTTTTTTTTTACTCTCCTCTCCTTTTTTACGCTGCGTCCTTCGCCGAGACGGCTTTTTGTTCGTTATTGGTGAGGCCTGAATAACGGTTCGCGTGCGCGTATTTATGCGTTCGCCCGATTTAAAATTCGTGAATTTTCATGGATTCCGAGCTTTGCCGCAGCTTATTATTTATATATATATATATATATATATATACGTTGAATTGAAATTAACGTCGAATATCGCCGGCGAAATTTTAGCCTTCAATTATGAGCATTTGCTTTTCATATACGATGTACATTTTGAAATAAAACTTCCATGATGTGGAAGCTGGTTACAATTACCATAGACATTCCATAAATACGTTCCATTTTGCAATTTGATGGAAACACTAGTAATGAAGAATGAGCGAACGAAAAAGATGGAAGATTTATTCGTTTCTCTACATTAAATGGCAATCGTTTAAAATTCATGACTGCAACTGACATTAGTTGGAGATATTTAAGATAAAACAAGCTAATGCATTATTTATAAAGAAATTATAGAGTGAAAGTGTACTTATGAATATGCTTCCACATTCAATTGTGACAAACGATACACGAGTCTATACTGTTTATGTAATTATTTACTTATTAAATTGACAAGTCAATTTTTATCTTTAGAATTATTCATTACTAGCTAAGTTATATTAGTAATTCGTTGAAATATTAAAACAAAAAAAAACAAAAAAACAAAAACAAAAAAACAAAAAAACAAAACAAAACAAAACAATATAGGATTTAAGGAACTACGTTTGAATGTGATAATCGATTAGCGTATGTGATTATCGTCATTTACAAAAATGTTTCAAATACTCTCGACATCTAACATAAACATCATTAAAATATAAAAACAAATTTTTTTGGATAATTGTTGTTATAATTGTTATAAAAAAATGCATTGCTAGGGATATATATATACTTTATTGGCAGCCTCCTGAACATTGTGTCTAACTCGAAAAAATAATATTTTTTGTAACTAATGATTAAATTGTGTCAGCCCTTTAAAAAAAAAAAGTTATATCGATGAAAAATGTCGTAAACAATAATAATAATATTCAAATTGGCTACTTAATGGTCAGCAGCGACTGTAGATTTGCAATGTTATTAAGCCCCTGTACGATGATACGCATATATATTCGTTAATTTTTGCAATATTATCTGATAAATATAGAGAATTAACGTACAAAATGGTTATAAATAAAGGAGTTATATTTGAAGCGAGAAACTGTATTTAAGGAAATAGCAAAAAGATCTTATTTTTGCACTGTGATTCCGAAATCCAATTCGATTATACTCACCTTACATACTCAGGGACCTAGGGTACGCTATTTTTGACATTCCACGCCATTTCTATTTCTATAACGCTAACGGAGCGCCCAAAGTAAGGACACTTTTACGTTCAAGAATTTGGTTAATTGCAAGTGTCGTGTGCTCGCGATCGACAGGCTCCCTACATTAACAAAGAAAAGCCGCGACAGTCTATCTGTGAGCGAATAAACGAGGAACGACGCGTGTGTCTGTCTGCTCGTAGGTGAGTCGCTACCTGGATGCCCCGGACATAATAACGGGGAACACGACACCAATGGAGCCCGCGGTAAAGCAGCGTCTGCTCCGGCACCTAGACAGCTGCGTCTCGGAGCTGGACCTCGACCTCGGCTCGCGGCCCGACTCGGGTCTTGGCTCGAGCCCCGGCAGCGTGACCGAGCGCGTTCTCGGCCCCGGCAGTCCCTTACCCCTCGAGCATCCGCATCACGCGGTGGCCCACTGCAGCGCGGCACTCGGGGCCGCCCTCATCAAGCAGGAGATGCCGGAACTCGTGGACGCGACACGGCCCGACAGCAGCACTGCCCCCGGCGACGAGAATAACAACAGCAGCAGGCCCACCTCGGCCTTTGGACAAATGCATCCGAGTATGGCCGGAGTCGAGCAGCCTGCCGGCAGCCAGCCCAATCCCAACATGCTCTCCGTTGTCCAGGTGATTATTGCCAAGATAGTCGAAGAACTAAGGCCGAAAGAACTCGCGCCCGGGCAATGCCGTTTAACCTACCTTACGCTTATTTGACCCGGACACTTGTCGTATCTCTTAATACCTCTCTTTTGCCTTTTACATTTTACATTTCTATAAAAACACCCCTCGGATCTATAATATAGATTTACAATATTCGCCCATCGTCGTCCATTCTTTCGTCACCTTCGCTCCCTGTCCTTCACTATTACGAAACACAAAAAATTAACGCGACTAATTGTTCGTTCGTGGCCTTAATACCAAATTGATATTTCAATCGATTCGAGCGCTTTCCCCGCAGAATATGTTTCGCCCAGTTAATCATATAAATTTTATATAATCATACGAATTCCCAATTGGCAAACTTATCATCTAGCTCATTAATATTTAAAGCTTATTGAATGTCTCGAGCCAGTTGCGGCAGAAAAGAAAAAACATCCGTGCTCGATTAAAGTCTCGGCCGAAGCCTCGGCAAGTATGTTTATGATAAAGAAAAAGTAAACGAAAAATGAAAGATACAATATTGGTATTACGAGAGTACGCCTCTAATATAGATATCGCGAATAGATGGAGCAGGGGCCTATTTATTACAGTCGCGATTGAAGGAAAAATGTAAAAGTACACACAGCCGCTGGCACATCCGCTAAAACCAGTAGGCCAGAGTTATTAAGAGCGTCAATTGTCGCGGATGCGATTAATCACCGTGGCCGTAGCGCGTAGAGCGGCTCACTCGCTCGAGTCGTTCGCCATTGCGGAAGGGCAAAAAATTTTTGCTAATCTCTACGAACGTGCTTGGATACTGTTCGCAGGTGATACCGTCGCGGCTCCCGGACGGCCAAGTAGTGTTCCTGCTGCCGAGCCATTATGTGCAATTGGCCGCGGCGGCGGCGGCCAACGGCATAAGTATCGGCCCCAACCCGCCGACGGCGATCTGGGCTGCGACGAACATGTCACTGCTCAAGGCCAGCGACAAGCTTATAAAGAGGCCATTATGCGATGATACGGGGGATTGGTCGGACGGCCAGCTGAAGCCCGTGAAAGTGGCGCGCGTGGAGACGTCGGGCGCCGTTGAGCAGCCCCTTGACTTCACCACGAGCAGCGTGAAGAAGCTGAAGGCGGCGGCGGCGAGGCTCGTACAGCAGCAGCAGTCCGAGGCCGCGGCAGCGGCGGCTTTGCTCAGCCATCCTCAGGTCGAGGAGACGCAGACCCAGCAACCCGTGAAGGACGAGAAACCCGAGCCCAGCGCCAGGACGCCCGGCCACTCGCCGGGACTGCAACCGGTGAAGGACGAGGAAGGCATGTGGCGGCCTTGGTAGACGGATACCGCCCGATGACCCACGGAGCGGAATTTAGTCTGACGGGTTGCGTGCCCGATACTTTACTCCTCCCCGCGATCACCCTCTCGCATATCCCTTTCCCGTCCATGGCCAAGCCCCACCCTGCCTCGCGCTCTGCGGCTCTATCTCTCTTCCTCTCATCGGACGTCCACAATCCGGCGCTCCTACAGCTCCAAGCGTATAACGCGTACGCGTATGCACCTACGCAATTGACATCGATTTAAGGAGCGAAATTAAGGATCGGCCGATGAATAATGGCCCAGTGGGATTCTATGATTGGACGTCAGGTTTGTCAGTATTACTTTACAAGATTTAGTCTGTCCTTTCGCCTCTTGTTTGTGACAGCGCGACCATACTAAGCGAATAGCCAGACTAAGTTCCTTACGCGGGTCACTTATTAGCGCTCCCACCACCACCACCACCATCACCACCACCCCCCTCCCCCCTTCCCCTCCCCATCCCCCTCTCCACCCGCCAAAAATGCTGCGAACCTCGTATATTTCGTTCGAGATCCTCTCGCGCATCTTCCTTAGTATTTAAGGCAATTTGTATATGTCCTGACATTTAAATATGAAATAAAATTTAGGATGCGAGGCTCGTTCGATTTGATTCGATTTGGCAGTTGATCATTATTATTGAATAGTCAGAGACTAATGAGTTCGTAGCCAACGATACTTGTAGATATATTACTTACATACTTCATACAAATAAGTATACAAATATCGGCGAAATAAACAATAATACGCATTAACGATGCATGAAATTATTTGATCGATAGAGCTTAGCGCATAATTTACAATGAAACTCTGAATATTCGTTTTCGTTAAAGCCAGCAGCCGCTCGGACAATACAACGATTTCATGTTTTTCTTCCGTCACCAAAAAGGCTATAATTTTTTCTTTCATCCGACCCTTTTTCAAAAGAGAGTTTATTTTTTTATGCGAATGGGACAGGCAGTGAGCGAAGTAGTGGAGTATCCTTATCGAATCGTTATGAGCACTTTTAATTTTACAATACGTCATGTACAAATGTAGTTAGCGTATCGTGCTAACGCGCTTTTCATCGAACGACGATCGATTCGCGATTTATTCTGTACAAAGTAAGCATTAGAAAAGGACATTCGTACGGTATTCGATACTGCGACGATAATATATTACTGCACCATGCATATCTGACCCTGTCGCTCCGTGATTTTGCACAAAGCCTTTTCATTATTTAAGTCGTAAGCGACTGTCGAACGTAAAGAAAAGAAACGCGTGTAAATAAATAATCGTCGGACGGTGCGAGCGAGAAAACCTTTAACGAAGGATCTCACTCAACGACGTAATGTGCTGGGAATTGACGAGCAGCATCGAAAGTCCCCTTAACCGCCCCAACACTAGGACGATCTAGTGCCGGCGTTATGGTGGGGGTTGACGTGTGTTGACGGGGTTTGCGGGGTTCGCGGGGTTCGCGGGGCTTGAGGGGAGGGATGGGACGAAGAGGTGGCGGATGAGGATGAGGAGGATGAGGATGTGGATGAGGTAGGGATTAGTGGGTTGGGAGTAGGGGTAGGGAAGGTCTACGACTTAAACAAGGCAATGGCTTACCTCGCGTGCAGACACCATCCAACCTGGCACGTGCCAGCTCCGTAATTCTTTTCTTTTTTCGCTCCCTCTGATTATTCTTCTCAGCGCGCGTATATGTTTTTTCTACCAAATATGGCTTATGACGTAAATCTAGCGTACCAGTACTATAATCGTACTAGCAGCGCTACAACTCGAAAATCTTTCAATTTTGAAATATTATATAAAGTCTGGGAAATGTGACTGCGCTAGCGTACAATTTGTTACACCATCCGTAGTACAATTTGTTTTAACTGCTGGATAAATTTGTGAGCATCTCAAGTACAATTAAATGAAATATTTCGAGTATTCGAGCAGACCATCCTATTTAATAGGCTATCTTGGCGATTATTTTGTCTGTACTGTAGTAAAATTCAGTATTCGTCACTTTTCCCAGATGCTCGTAGAATAAGATATTGCGATCAAAGAATTATACGGACTAATATATAATCTATATAAATTTAAAGGTAAAGCTTTATAACTTGTAGAATTGATAAAAGTCGAGAATTTTAAGTTGTTCAATAGTATTACACTGGCGTTGCAGGAAGAGCGAATGAAGTTGGAAAAAAACAAATTGGAATGAAGTAACAGAAGCGATTGTATGTATGTACACATTGTAAGAAAGAGTCACATAATATAGGTTAATTTGATATGTACGTTTAAATAAGCGAGCATGACATTTTCAATTATTTCACGTGAGTATTATATACATATACATATACATATATATTATGGTCCGTTTATGCGCACCTGTACATAGAATTCGTGAGCAGAAGAAACGAATCGGCGCTATTGAACTACGAAAATATATAGATTTATTTTAATGTTATCTAGGTGTATATTGAGAGAATGAGGCGAGAAGTTAATTATTATTATTATTATTATTATTATTATTATTATTATTATTATTATTATTATTATTATTATTATTATTATTATTATGTGAATATTTGATGGTGAGACTATGAATATGTGTTTGGATGATATGAGATTACATTCGGCGAACTATTTATGTATAAGAGATGTAGGTAGGAACTTACTTCGTGATTCCACCGTTTTAATTGTGTCTGTAATTGCTGAATATATTGCGATCCGGTCTCATAATTCAATGTACTTAGTGACGCAGTCAATACACGCAAATATTGAACTACACAATTATCGATGTACTTTCATTTATTGTACTCGACCTTCCTAACCCACCTACTTTCCATCGCCCTCGATCTCAAGAGATCTGATTTTCTCCCTTTCATCTTCTTTGCTTCGCTTACAAGATTATCAATGCCTTTACAAGGTAATTATGAAATTAAAATTTTTAACACACCCAACAGATGTTACACGCTCGGAGTGCTGCCCTACGCTCGTTAAAATTTTCAACGCCTTTTTCTTTTTCCTTCCTTTTTTTCTTTCTTATTATAACTATATCATTACATTTTGATTTAATCGGCTCTGCCGCTGTGAAAATGTTTATCTTGTTTTTGAATAATTTTCTTTTTTAAGCTGCACATATTACGTCGTTGGCTAAATAGTTGCACACGATGAATTGAAACTGATCGATTAAAGCTGAAATATCAGTTCAGACGTAAATACGGCTCGCGAACATTGCCACCAATCTCTCTTCCAAAAAATCATAATTCTCTAAAGTTCGATCAATGCGCAAATCCGCTTAAATTGAGCGAGCTCGTAATCAGCATTTGAGTTAAAAAAAATTTTTTTACAATTCCAATACACATGGTAAAGGATAATTAGACGGGAGAGCGAACGTTACGTTCTTAACCAAAACATTGCATTGTTTTTTCATGGAAAGTCCGTCAGCAAAAGCCGTACATTCTAATCGGCAAAAACTCACGGACGGAAAATGCTCGATAAGTACCTTGCGCAATATAATAAAAAAGTAAGAGTAAAATAAAAGCCTTCTGGTTAAGCGCCAGCTCGCACTAGTCGCCTTAACGATTTTCCCGAGTGGAAAAGCGCGCGCCCGCGGCTTATCTAATCTCGACGCGCGTCATCGGGCGCTTCGCGCGAAAATTAGAGAGCGGCGAAAATTGATAGGGTCATTCGGTTGTCCCCGAGGCGTGGCGGGAGCGAAACGGATGCGCTCTCGTCCCCTCCATGATGGCTATTCGCCCCGTCGCGGCATCCGCGCCTCGTTTCGCCGATTACGTCGTGGCGGTAGACAGGGGACGGGGACTGCGAACGAGGGACGGCTCGATGAGGGGAGGGCAGAGCAGCGGGACGGGGGTGCGGCGGAGTGCGGTTCGGTGCGGTGCGGTGCGGTGCGGTACGGCGAAGATGATGGCGGCGGTGGGGGGGGCGAAGGGGGGGATGCACGCGCGGCCACCGGTAATTGCGGTATTGCACGCGCCACATTATGCGCGCAGCTGCACTCGCGTGCGTGCGATGCCACCCGATAAAAAGGAGCGGCGTGAGGGACGGAGAGCGGGAGAGAGATAGAGAGAGAGAGAGAGAGAGAGAGAGAGAGAAAGGAGACGGCGAAATGGGCGCGGATGTGTATGCCGATAGCTCAATAATTTCGACGGTGTACTCCTTTTGTTCTTCCCAGGCACTCGGGCACTTCTTCTTCCGTTTCTTTTCAGTGTTCTTTTTCTTTTTCTTTCCTTTTTTTTTTTTTTTTTGTTTGTTTTTATTTATTTCTTTATTTATTTACCCAATGTGTCGTGAACCGATGGACTTTGGAGCTGACTGGATTCGCCTAGTGTTATGCAGAAGTAAAAATTACGCGTATAGACCCGTAATGGCGATCGATTGATCGATCGGGAGACGAATTCGATCGAGATTGCGCCGAACTCGATGGCTGGTATTTAAATCGACGGCCGACTAGACTATTTGAAATTATATATCTAGTTGTTGCGTATTTTACGACGAGTGCGACTCTTAAAGCAAGTGCATTCTGATTTAGTTCTCATTCCGGCCAATATAAATAATACAATTGTTCAATGGCTTTATTCAGGCATGGTTATTTGTTTTTTATACCGAGGCATCGTTTAGAATTAAGTCGTGAAAATAGTAAGATAAGCTGATTGGGTATCGTTAATTGAAGCGAAATATTTTCAATCGACGCCAATCGTTAATACGATCGTTAAAAATTAGCATTATCAAGGAATATTCTGCCAGGCATAATTTAATGAAAAATAATGTTAAGGTAAAATGCATCACGCGAATTAATAAGAATTGAAATGGATTTTTTACGAATGGCTATTGTTGATGTAAGTGTAGTTGGAAAAATATTTTGGCATATAGATGTGTAAATTAGCAAGGGACGTTGAGCATATAATCTTAATGTCTCTTTCGTGAATCGAACTGTGCGCAGCGCGACTCGATAAATAACAATTAAGTGTACGCACGAGATTCACGTTATCGTATGATTTTAAAAGAAAAAAGAAAAAAAAAAAGAAAAAAGAAAAAAAAATTGAAAATTAAATTTTCATCAACCAGCTGTGAAAGAGGTGCCTTGGGAGCAAACAACTTTCGCACCAAATTCGCTCCGAAAACGTCTTTATTATTAGCCTGTAAACCCAATAACGCGCGGTCATAAAAGCGTAGCCCCGCGACATTTTCGTAATAACCACTGAGAATTCTCGCGCTCGATCTTAGCCGGCGAAATTCGATAATTCGGCCAATCGAGCGACCGACTCATTAGAAAATTCGCCGGTTATAATCCGCAAACGAGCTGATAATAGAGTAGTGGTGGCTTCCGAATTCCCCTCGCTTGCCATTTTTCGAGCAATCAGCGCCGGCGTTTTTCATCCTGGCGTCAGCCCGCCGAATAGAATTGTCCGTGCATGGCGA